GAGCGGAGGGTTAGGAGGACGAGGAGGAGGATGAGGAGGAGGAGGACGAGGGAGGAGTATATGATGATGACGAGAGGAGGAGGGCGAGAGGAGGAGGCGGAGAGGAGGGGGAGGAGGAGGAGGAGGAGGAGGAGGAGGAGGAGGAGGAGGAGAGGGTCAGCGGCGAGCGAGGGGGAAGGGGGGGGGAAGTGAGACGGAGAAGGCCTTCTCAGGAGGCGGCGGGACTTCCCAGAAGCCCTTGCGGCTTCAGAGACGTTTTTGTGTCTTCGGGGAAGGCTTAGAGCTTTGAGCACGTCTCGGATGCCCGGGGGACTTCCGAGCCCTCTGAGAATGCCCGCCTGTTCTCACGTCCCCCCCTCGCTCGCCCCCGATGAGAGCGGGTTAGCCCTTCCTGAGGATTTCTCCTCCAGGGCCAACGCATGACCCCTGAGGAAGAAAAGATGGCACAAATCCTGCGAGTGCTTCCCTCCATTAAGTAAGCACCCCCGACGAAGAACAACCCTTCTTGAGGAGCGGCAACTTCTCATGGGGAATGGCTGTGCTCTGCCCTTGGACAGGTATGCCCTGGGGAAGGAGACCTTCTGAGGATGATATTCCCCTGGGATGAATTGTTGGAAGCGGGTGAATCATGACGAATTCGAGGATTTGGTTTCTGGGGGAGTTATTGCGAATGGAGGAACATCATTCCCAGTGACTTCTACGGAACATGATCCTGAAGAGGGCAACGCCAATCCCGATGATGGTCTTTCACGCAAAGAATCCTGAGAGGAAGGGGTACCCCTCCTGGTGATCGGTTTCCCGGGGAACATCCTGAATTTGAGGAGGGGCTCTCCAATCAACAACTAAGTCCAGGGAGACCTGGATGCCCTTTCCTCGTGGGGGGATGGCCTTTCTGAGGACGCGCTTTCCGTAACACAGAAACGCCTCCAGGATGAAGATTTTCTTGAGGGGCCATCGAGGACAATCAATCAGGAAAACAAGTCATCCTGGGGATGGGGAAACCCATCCTGAGGAGAAGTCATCCAGGTTTTCCAGGCAATGTACTCTCTGAGGAGGGGGGCATTCAAGAGACAACACCGTCTTGATGATGAACCCAGCGCGTTATACGGACTTGTTTTCAGTGCCCCATCCCGCCTGAGGAGGGGCAAACCCATCTTGAGCAGTGGCCTCCCGAGAAACGAATTCGTGAGGAGGAGCGCATCTTCTCTGAGGAGAGGTTCCAGTTCCAGGTCAAAGGTTTCCGAAAGAAGCAGAGACTGCCTTTGCTTCTTTCGGAGAGGGGCGCTCTGGAGAAGAACAACGCGGACGAGGGGAACACCACATCGCGGAGGTTTTTTTTTTTACGATGGGTCCCCTCGTCAGGAATGGCAGCTCTGAGGAGTTGAAGGCAGCTCCTGAGGAGCTTTTCCGGAAAAGGTTTTCAGAGGGTGGTCTCAGGAGGCTCGTTCTGGGGAAAGCATGTCCTGAAGTGGTTGAACACCTTCCCAAGGTGTTTTCCGGAGAACATAACCATCCTGAAGAGGGGTGTTTTTTTAGAGGAGGGGTTCAGGAAGGGCTTTTCGAGGTATAAGTTCTTGAACATCCTCCTGGGAAGGGATGCGTCAGGATGGGTTCCAGGAATGAGTTTCAGTTTACGCTCGTGTTTTCGAAGGGCTACCCAGGAAAACAATCCGCAGTTCCTCCCCTCGGCCTGGAAACACTTTGTTGATGCGGGGAAATTTCAAGGGGTGTTCCAGCACGGGTCAGACACGAGCCAGAATTATTAGTTCCCGAGATGATCTAAACAGCTTTGTGTTGCGGTTGTATGTTTGGCAACATCCATGGGTCCGATGGCTTAGTTGATCCGCGCGAGGCGGCACCCTGCCGGACACAGGACATTGGCAACAGTTATGCGCTTGAAGCATTCACGTGGCCGAAGACGAATGAGCCTTGTGTAAGGCAGCACCCCGCTGGAGGGGCACAGGGAGTCAAGGCATTTGCACGTTTGGCAGTATTCGGATGCAGTGGCACGCGAATCGGATATGGAGGCGGCTAGGAGGAGGAGGAGGAGGAGGAGGAGGAGGAGGAGGAGGAGGAGGAGGAGGAGGAGGAGGAGGAGGAGGAGGAGGAGGAGGAGGAGGAGGAGGAGGAGGAGGAGGAGGAGGAGGAGGAGGAGGAGGAGGAGGAGGAGGAGGAGGAGGAGGCGGAGGCGGAGGCGGAGGAGGAGGAGGAGCAGGAGGAGGAGGAGGAGGAGGAGGAGGAGGAGGAGGAGGAGGAGGAGGAGGAGGAGGAGGAGGAGCAGCAAATGACCCAATCGAAATGAGGGCCGCACCAACGAAAGTTGGGAACAAGTCAGTCGACGAGCGAACATGTCAGTACAGTCGGACAGAGGTGTAAGATCGATGTCTGTTCGGAGAGGGTACCTGTTTGTTGGATGTGCTTGTGCATCCTGAGGGAGGGTATCCTCGCATGTTCTCCGGTTTGGCCGGCGGAGGGTATCATGCTCTGGAAGGATGTTCTTCTCTTGTCCCAGGCACGGCTGCAGTGTCTCGGCTCGGGCACGCCAGCGGTCTGCCTCGGCCGCGTCGAGATGGCCGTGGCCGCCCTCACGTGTGCCGCGACTTCTGCCCCTGCGGCGGGGGCCGTGCAGCGCCGCGGCGATTGGAGGGCCGCGGCGGCGATGTGGTGGTTGGCGTGCGTCGCCACCGCCGCAGCGCAGAAAGAGCCCATGGTGCCGTTGCCTTATCTCGGCGGCGAGCGAGGGGGGAAGTGAGAAGGGGCGGGCCTTCTCGGAAGGCCCGGAAGCGCCCTGGCCTTCGAGAGGTCTTTGGAGCCTTCCCCGAGGACGCCGAAAACCTCTTAGACGGCGCGAGGGCCTCGGGGAAGTCCGGCCGCCTTCTGAGAGGGTTTCCTCCTCTCATCACCTGCCAAACCACCCCAACGCAACCCTGAGTCCCCGATTTGCCCTGCATTTTCCGTAGGGGGGGGGTCGGGGAACATCGAAAAAACTTGCTCGCCGCCGATCTATCGGGGGCAGATCGCCAAGGAGAGCGACTGTGAGTGGCACGGCTGGGCACCGCGCGCGAGCGGCCGCGTGCGGGTGTTTGACCTGATGACGTTCATGAACGAGCTGGAGGTGGTGGAGGCGAGATTCCACGAGCTGTACGAGATGGTGGAAGCTTTCGTAAGTCGAAGGAGAGAAAACGCCATAAACAGAAACTTTTGGCGCTCCGCGCGGATTTCTCGGATCCGCGCCTCCTTGGCCGCCCCTGGCGCGCTCCGCTCGCCAGCGCAGATCCAAGAAGTCCGTGCGCAGCGCCACAAGTTTCTGTTTGTGGCGCTTTTTCTTCTTCTGGGAATCGTGGAGCTCGGCATGACCCACCAAGGGTCTCGAAGAAACTCGACCTTCGCCTCGTGCCGTTCGACGCCGGGCTGCCACGCCCGGTTCGGCCCTTTCCTCGACAAGGTCCACTACACGTTCGTTGGCTCCTTGCCTTCCTGCGGGCTGGGGGAAGCGTGGTCCTGCGAGAACGCGCACCGCGAGCTGTTGACAGAAGCTTTCGTGGCGGCTGGTGGCACCGACGAGGATGTGGCCATCGTTGGAGATGCAGACGAATTCCCGCGCGCGTCAACATCTTGGGCTCTCGCTCATTGCGAGGTGCCAGAAAGGATGAACATAGAGACAGACTTTTATTATCGAAGAAGCGTGCTGCGAATCACCGCCGCCCCCTGTCTTTTGGAAGCGCCTGTGTGGCCGAACTTTGCGGCCAGAGCTCGGCCAAGCTTCCGGACTGTGTGGTCCCCCAGTCGTTGTGGAAAGCTTTTGGGGAACAAGCGGGGAGAAAGGAAAAATGAGGAAGATAGAGGAACAAGAGGTGGAGGAGGAGGAGGAGGAGGGAGGAGGAGGAGGAGAAGGAGGAGGGAGGAGGAGGAGGAGGAAGAGGCCTCTTGGGAGCCTCTTGGGGCCTCCCTGGAGATTCCTGGGGGCCTCTAGTAGGCCTCCTTGCCTGGGGGCTTCCTTGGGCCTCTTGGGGCCTGTGGAAACTCCTTAGGAAGTTGTTTGGCAGTCTCAGGGCGCTCCTGGCCCATCTGACGCCGTCGGAAGCCGTCTTGGGGCCGACTTGGGGCCCTCTCGGAGCGCTTCAGGGCCGTCTTGGAAGCCATCTTGGGCGTCTTGGAGGTCTGCAGGGCCGTCTTAGGGGGCCTTCTGTGTTGTCAGAGTGCCATCTCGGCGGCCTCTTGGGCGCTCTTGGGGCCATCTTGATGGCCTCTGGGGCCGTCTGGGGCCGTCGGAAAGCCGAACATCAGCAAACGCCCGAATCTTTCAAAAACCATCGGAACAATTGTCTTTGCCTCTTGGGGCCGTCCTGGAGGTCCACTCGGAGGCCTCCTGGGCCGTCTTGGAGGCCTCTTGGGCTGTCTTGGGCTGTCTTGGGGCCATCTTGGGGGCATTTTGGGCCGTCTTGGAGACATCTTGCAGCCATCTTGGGCTCTCTTGGAGGCCATCTTGGGCGTCTTGGAGGCCGTCTTGAGACCCTCTTGGGTGGAAAGGCGGATGGGATATTAAATTTCGGTGGCCTTCCGGGTGGCCGGCGGGATTGTCCGAAGGCCCATTGAGAACCTTTGAAAGAACCAGCTCTTGCCGAACATCCGTGGCAAGCCAACCGGGGGCGGCGGATCCAGTGGCTTTCGGTCCATCCCGCCACCGTGCCCAGCATGCATGTTATCGGTTAAAGTTTCCATCCCTCCATCCATCCAAGGATTTCTCGCTCGACCTTGCAACCAAGAAAACACTTCGCCGCGTCTGGGAAACAGTGCTGCGGTGCTGCAGCGCGACGTGGCCGTACGTTGTTGCTTTGTTCGTTGGAGGTTTCTGTGAGGTTTCTCGGGGGACGTCTTGGATGCACCTTCGTGGCTATTGAGGTCGCTTGAGACTGTGGGTGGGGGCCTGTTCGCGGTCTTGGGCCCGCCGTGTGCGATATGCAAGTTTGTGATTGGTAATGGGTTTGTCGCGAGCATAGCGCGGGCGTGGCTGAGTCGGCTGCGTGAAAAAGGTGAGAGCAGGCACCAGCATAGATAGGGGAAAAGGACACGTGTGAGGGCCGTAACGGCCCGAGGCGGCATGCGAACGCAGCCACAGGGGCACCCGGTGAAGTTCCATACAGGGCCATGGAGCATGTGAGGGATGTGCCGATTTTTATCCGAGACGGCGTGCAAAAGCAGTCGTCGGGCCTTTCGATGGAGTTCGCGACGGGGACGCGAAGCGTGTGAGGGATGGACCCGAGGCAGCATGCAACCGCAGCAATTGGGGTCATGGGTGGAGCTTCCCCGGGGCAGGATCTGTGTGAGGAGTATGCGAGAAGGAGCGCAGCAGAAGCGGCAGGGATAGAAGGAGGGAAGAGGCGGATGCGGAGTAAGAGGAGGAGGGAGGGAGAAGGAGGAAGATGAGAGAAGACGCGCTGCGCTGCGGATCCAAAACGAGGGCCCAACACGCAGGAGGGTTTGGGGCCACATATCCAATCATGTTACAGCTTCATCGGTGTGGAGCTCGTCTGCCTGGGCTCCTAGGAAAGTGGATAACCACCTGAAGCAGGAGTTCCTGTGAGCGCTTCCGCAACAATTCCAAACAGTTTGCAACCATCGGCCTGATGAGCTAAATTGCAACATGATTGGTCATTTTGCGAAGGGGAGCCCTCACGTTGGTTTCGATGATTTCCACCGCTTCTTGTAGTCCAGGCCGACGAGCTCCACACCGATTCAGTTTCAGCATGTTTTGTTAGTTTTGTTGCGGTTGGCCCGTCAACTGGGGCAGTCATGGATGCCAATTGATGTCATATGTTCTCAAATTCTCTCGTCCCTGCTCATCCTCTGGATTCTTCTCATTCTCATGATTTGTCTCCCCAGCCACTTTATTATCCAGCCCAGCGAAACGAGCAACGCAGCAGACACGCAGGAGCGAACACCAGACACGCGCGTACACATACAAGCCAACACAGCAAACACGCAGCCCGACTAGTAACACGCCACAGTTAAATCAGGATACAGGCAGCCGACCATCCGACCAGCTACTACTACTACTATTATTATTACTACTACTATTACTACTACTATTACTACTACTACTGCTGCTGCTACTACTGCTACCTCTATCACTACTGCTACTAGTAGTAGTAGTACTACTACTACTGCTACTTCTACTTCTACTTCTACTGCGACGACGACGACTACTACTACCAGCACTGCTAATACGATTGCTACCACTACTACTACTACTCCCACTCGGATTGCTGCAATACTACTACCACTACTACTACTACTACTACCACTACTACTACTACTACTACTACTACTATTACTACTACTATTTCTACTGCTGCTGTTACTGCTACTACGACTGCTACTGCATCGACGGCTACTGCCACTACTATCACTCCTCCTACCACGACGACAGCTGTTACTGCACCGTTTCCGACTGCGGCTTCTACGACCACTACTATTGTTATTACGGATACTACTACGATATTAGTTTACAGTTGTTGTTGCTACTACAACTACTACCGTTACTATTTGACTTGGTAAACTATGAATATTACGACTACTGCAACGACGACGGCGACGACGACTACTGGTACTACTACTACTACTACTACTACTACTACTACTCCGACTACCACCGCTACCTATCTGACGACTGCAACTATTACTACTACTGCTACTACTACTACTACTACCACCACTACTTTTGCTACTACGGCAATTACTACGACTACGACTACTACTACTACGACAGCTGCGTTTATTACTGCTACTACTACTACTACTACTACTACTACTACTACTACTACTACTACTACTACTACTGCTACTACTACTACTACTACTACTACTACTACTACTACTACTACTACTGCTGCTACTACTACTACTACACTACTACTACTACTACTACCACTACTACTACTACTACTACTACTACTACTACTACTGCTACTACCACCATTACTGCCACTATCTCTCCCCACCACTAAATCCGTTCCTATTGCCACAAGACCGGCTACTGCTATGACTACTATTACTATTACTGCTATTGCTACTGCTACGGCTAATACTGCTAGTCGTACGACTATTATTGATACTACTACTGCCGCTACTCTTACTACTGCGACCGCTACCTGTATTGCTACTGCTACTGCAGCTGCTACTACTGCTACTACGACGAGTTTCGCGACTACTACGGTCCCTCTTCCTCCTCCTGCCATTGCTTTTGTTGCTACTACTACTACTACCACCACTACTACCACCACCACCACCACCACTACGACGACTACTACTACTACTACTACTACCACTACCACTACTACTACTACTACTGCTGCTACTACTACTACTACTGCTACTACTACTACTACTACTACTACTACCACGACTACCACTACTACTACTAGTACTGCTACTACTGCTACTACTACTACTACTACTACTACTACTACTACTACTACTACTATTACTACTACTACTACTACTACTACTACTACTACTACTACTACTACTACTACTACTACTACTACTACTACTACTACTACTACTACTACTACTACTACTACTACTACTACTACTACTACTACTACCTACTACTACTACTACTACTACTACTACTACTACTACTACTACTACTACTACTACTACTACTACTACTACTACTACTACTACTACTACTACTACTACTACTACTACTACTACTACTACTACTACTACTACTACTACTACTACTACTACTACTACGACTACGACTACGACTACTACTACTACTACTGCTACTACTACTACTACTACTACTACTACTACTACTACTACTATCGCGACTGCGACAGCGACTACGGCTACGGCTGCGACTACGACTGTGACTCCGACTGCGACTACGTGTACGAGAACGAGTACGACTACGACTGCGAATACATTTGCTTGCGGCAAGCCCCGCCAGCGTGCCTGTGCAACGGCGCAGCAGGAGGGGGACCGAGTGTAGGAACAGCGCAAGTCCGACCACTGGCCTGACCTGATTCGGGTGGATCGTGAACTCGACCTTGTCGTCGTCGGCGCGGTAGGAAGGAGGTCGAGTTCACGCCCCGCGGCAGTGCAGCGAGTGGTCTGAAGCGGGAAGGGTCGTAATCTTGATTTCGTTTTTGTCGTTGCGGCATTGGGGAAGAAGCGGGGGAGGAGGAGCGAGAGGAGGAGGAGGAGGAGGAGGAGGAGGAGGAGGACGCGGGGATAGAATCCATTAGGATGAGAAGGACTCATGGGCCCCTTTCTTGGGGCTTCCTGGGTGCTTCCTGTGAGCCTCCTGTGGGCCTCTTGGGGGCCTCTTGGTGGCCTCCTGGGGTCTTCCGTGGGTTTCTTGGGGCCTCGTGGGCCGTCTAGTGAAGCTCTTGGCTCGTCTGTCGCTTTC